TAAAGAAGAATTTTAATCATGTCATATGTTGGGGGGGGTGTTCATTACATATCTTAAGATAAGGACATGTCAAAAGATGTTGTATCTTATTAAAGAAAAGGTAATCCCAGTTAGGAGGCTGAGGCAAGAGGATCACAAGTTTGAGGTTAGCGTTGGCAATTTAGCAAAATCCTGTCTCAAACTAAAAGATTAAAAAAAGGCTGGGGATATAGCTCAGTGGTAGAGTGTCACTGGGTTTAATCCCCAGTTTTAGGGGGAAAAAAAAAGATCATCTGTTTGGCACATGAGGCCACTTGACAAATCAGCATGAACATGTTGAGATTAAAACATTTGCAAATCATGCTTTTTCCAGTGTGGTTAAATGGATCTCTATATTCATCTATTATAATTTATAATCATTGCTAATGTTCAAGTATATTAGGGTTAAATATAACTTGAAAATGGAAAAACAGAAAAGATTAGTATCCATTCTTCTACAGATGACTCATGCTGATGGCTTAGCTATTTTCTGTAGCTTTTTCATAATTATGGTATGTTTCATGTAGTGAAATATATTTAACATATATTATTATTGATGCTAAAGGTACAAAATTCAGGTATAATCATCACCCTAAAAATAAACAAGTTCTAATTACTTCTTCTGAATTCTAGGTATATTGAGATTTTTATCAATTAAATTAATTATTATACTAAGTTTAACTTTTGTGTGTGGTTTTTAAAAATAGTTACTATTTTTTGGCACTGAGCTACATCTCCAGCCCTTTTTATTTTATTTTATTTTTTAAAAAGAGAGAGAGAGAGAGAGAGAGAGAGAGAGAGAGACAGAATTAGAGAATTTTTTAATATTTATTTTTTAGTTTTTCGGTGGACACAACATCTTTATTTATATGTGGTGCTGAGGATCAAACCCAGTGCCCCGCGCATGCCAGGCAAGCGTGCTACCGCTTGAGCCACATCCCCAGCCCTCCAGCCCTTTTTAAAAACATTTTTTTAATTGTTGATGGACCTTTATTTTATTTATTTATATTTATATATTTTATTTATTTATATGTGTTGCTGAGAATAGAACCAAGTGTCTCACACATATGAAGCAAGTACTCTACCACTGAGCCACAACCCCAGCTTCCCAGTCCCAGCCCTTTTTATTGTGTATTTTGAGGCAAGGTCGCACTAAATGCCCAGGCTGGTCTCAAACTTGTGATTCTCCTATCTTGGCTTCCCCAGTCACTGAAATTAACAGATAATCCCACCATGGACTGACAAATTGTAACTTTGAATGTAGCAATGGAAATCAAGAGAAACTATTTCTTACATGTATCTCTTTAGAAAAATCTCAGGAAATATTTTGTATAATAAACCTGTTTGAAACAATTTAAACCTAGAAATGTTTCTAGGCTATAGCAAGATAAATTCAGTTTGTCTGGATTTTGATCTACCACTAAATTTTGGATCCGAGGAGAGTCTTGTTTTTAAATTTAATACAGAAATTAAGTTTTAACTTGGAAACTGGGATTTCCATGGGCTGAGACATGCAGAAATTGTGTAAGAATAAGTCAGTTACTGCTGTAATTCTAATGTTTGTACCCACCACACATATCTAATGTTGAAATTCTCACTCTCAAGATGATGGTATTAGTAGGTGGGCCTTTGGGAAGTGTTGAGGCCATGAGAGTAGAGCTCTCCTGAATGAGATTAGCCCTCTAAAAAAGGAAGCTGGAGAACTAGCTACTCCTTTCTTCCATGTGAAGATACAGCAACTAGGTGCTGTCTATAAACAGACAGTAGATGCTTACCAGACACCAAATCTGTCAGTATACTGATCTTTGACTTCCTAATCTCCAGAACCATAAGGAATAAATTGCTGTTGTTTATAACCTACCCAACTTATGGTATTTTGTTATAGCAGCCAGGACAGACTAAGACACTATATAGAGACAATAGGATGTTTTTTACATCTGGGAATTCTCAGCAAAACCTAGTGGAATTCACAGTTAAGAACATTTTTCAATCTCCAGACAATCCTGCAGACTTCAGGTTTAAATGGTTCTGGACTCCCTCTAGTGGCTCAACATTTTTGTGCATTAATTGATGCTCTTCGAGTCATAGAATTGCCAAATTTGGGATGATCTTGAAAACAAATAAGCAAAAGAACCACTCAATTCCTATTAGAATGCTTTTCCCAAAGAAGATTAAATAATTTAATGGTATTATAAATATGAATTCACAGATGGTTGAAATAATAGTGTTAGAAAAAGGTCTGTCCCAAAGGAACAGAAAGGATCGATAAGAGTTTAAGGTCCAGGAACAGGATCCCTTGTTGATTTTGTTTGAGACTTAAGGTGAGGACTCACCTTTTCAGGGAGGGTGAAGTGAACATTTCCTGGCTATATGGGTCCTACAAGGGCAGATGATTCTAGTTTGACCTGTATGAAAAGCAACCCATCAGATTAACACAAACAACATGCAGTTTTCTTCACATCATATTCCTAATTTCAGAAAACGCTAAGGTTGAGTTAACTTTATTTGCCTTCTTATGTTTGCTCCCCTAAATTGGCTTCAGTCATGTCCCTTAACTGTATCTTCCACATGCCCATACTCAAAATACAAGTAGAGAAAAATCTTAAATTCCTTCCACTGATCTTTCATTTCCTGGTTCTTCTATATTATAGATATTCCTAAATATGCTGACTCTTTTACATGACAGCCCTTTACATACTTAAGACAGTTATCATGTCCTTATTAAGTCTTCATTCTCTTTCCTAGATCCTCACAGTTACTTGGAACTGGAATTAAAGAATCTTCATTGAGGTACAGGCATCATGATGAATAACTTAGTAGGCATTTTACTCACATCTTTAGGGGTCAGGAAAATGGCTTTTTTGAGAATATGCAAGACAATTATTGAAAAGCCTGAAAGCAGCTGGGGTACTGTGGCATACACCTGTAATTCCAGTAACTTGGGAGGCTGAGGCAGAAGGATTATAGCTAGTTCCAGGTTAGTCTCAGAAGTTTAGCAAGACCCTATTCCAAAATAAAAAAATAAAAAGGATTGGGGTCAGTGGTAGAAGAGCATCCCTGGGTTCAATCCCCAGTGTATATTGGTGGGGAATGGGTGGGGAGAGCGGAGTCTGAAGGCCAAAGAGGACAGAGGCTAATGAAATTAAGGGAATGTAAGAATTACCCATTTCTGGACCTCCTCCTGCTATTTGTGCTATTTTTTTGGGTGCATTTTAAGTTGTTCTAGCACTGGAGTTGGAAAAGTAAAAAAGAGATAAGTTACAGTAGAGTCTAGAAGTCTTTCATACTGTTTGCTATTAAGTTTAGATAGAATGAGACCAGGAATTAGCATTGGTCCCAGATCCAAGAATACTTTCCATTGATTTGATAATATACAATCTGGGATTATTTGCAATAGAAACTATATAACTGCATCCCAGCCATTTAGGCATTCTGTTTGCAATCAGTTTTGTTATTTCACAAATTTGGGTTTCAGTGAAGGTGAGAAAAATAGAGGTCGGAAGATGTGAGCAGGATTAAAAACAAGGCATATTTGCCGGGCATGGTGGCACACTCTTGTAATCCCAGAGGTTTGGGAGATCAAAGCAGGAGGATAACAAGTTCAAAGCCAGCCTCATCAATTTAGCAAGGCCCTAAGCAACTTAATAAGACCGTTTCTCAAAATACAAAATAAAAAGGGACGGGGATGTGGCTTAGTGGTTAAAGCACCCCTGGGTTGAATCCCTGGTTGGAAAAAAAAAAAAGGCATAGCTTCTTGCCTTTAAATATGTCATCCCTTTTAATGAAAATTAAAAGGGATAGGAAATGAATTTCAGCTGATAAGAGTAATTACTTGCGAAAACGCAGAAAGTAGGTGGAAAAAGAAGAGTAGGCAGTTGTTTTAATAATGTAGACAGGTATAGTCTCTAATCCAGTACAAGACTTAGTAGTGCTATGTCCCAAATAGCCTTTTAATGCCAAAGAACACTCAAAGGAGTAAATCAGGAATCGGAACAAATGTACTAGTATGCTACAAATGCATCGGATAGCCTAGCTTTCCTTCTTTCCCCTCTCCAAGGGATTTTAAATGTCACACTGTGCTCCTCTCCTTGGTGCTTTTCTATAGAAAGGCTGGACCACCCCAACAGGTTAGAATTTCGGTTATGGAAGGTACCAAGGTTGTTAACTCAGCTAATCCGAGTTACCTAAGACATAAGCAATATGACACCCCCTAAATACTGTTCCCATGGGGGACAGTTGGGAGTTTCTTTACCAAAAAAACGAGTCTGTAGGCTGATACTCCAATAGCGGCAATAGTAATGAAGCAGACCAGGTACCCTCACTCCAAAGATCCTTGCCATAATTAAGCTTCTCCTCTTGTCAAATCAGCAACATGTCTACAGAAGTTATTGTGATTGGTAGTTTCCTCCTTCCTATAAACGCCAGGTTTGCGCACAAAAGGTGTGACAGAGTTAGTCTATAAGCTTGCACAGAATATATTATCTCTTGGTAAAATTATCTCTTGTTTTCTTGGTAAAACAAACAAACAAACTTGTGAAACCTGTGTCTGGTCTAGAGGAATAGAAAGTACTTGCCATGTGAGCCTCCAAGTGCTCCCCTCCCACTGGGTATAATGTTAAAAGAATTTCGATATCTTTGATCAGAGGAAGAATTCTTAGGCAAGCGCCACCTCTGAACCCTGCAGTCAATAAACCTGCTTCCTGAAAATTTCTGGGGTGTCCAGCCTCTCCTGTCCTACTCAGTAATGCCACGGTCCCAGGGCCAGGAAAAAGAATATGCAATGCTGGTGACTCCCAAGGTCCCAAGGCCATACTTAATGGTTAGCTTACGTTGCCTCCCAGGCACCTGTAAACACCACCTCCATAAAGCTCTGGGCTGCTCAACTTCATCAAATTGGACCAAAACTTCCCCAGAGCCCAGACGTTGTCTCTTTTTCCTTGATCTTCACTCAACCGCTAGCTACTGAACATCATCCTTAGCGCATGCGCGCAGCCTGCTTCCGGCCCGGGAGCGCGGTGTGTTTGGCCTTTCCGCCGGATGGAGTTCCTGCTCCAGCTTCCTAGGACTGAGTCTTCCATGTGCCATGGTCCCGAACTCAGGTCCCTTCCCTGAAGGGCCCCTCTTAAAGCTGCTACCTGTAGATACTAGGGACCGGGGCACCCAGCGCTGTCGCCTGGGTCCCGCCGCCCTCCGCACCTTGGGTGCGCGTGTGGGCTCGGCAGTGAGGATCTTGCTGCCCGAAGGCGGCTCCTGCCTCTGCACTGCCTGGCCGCGGCGGGATGGAGCTGATGGTTTTGTGCAGCTGGACCTGCAGTGCGCAAGTCCCGGGGCGGCGGTGGGGGAGCGGGGTTCCCCGGGGACTCTCAGCCTGAGCCGCCTCAGCCTGGTACCCTGCCCGCCCCTGCGGCGCCTCTCTGTGTGGCCAGTGTTGCGAATGCCCGCAGGCGCGCCGAGTGCCCCGAGTCCAGCCGCGGTGCTGGAAGCCGCGCAGGAGCTGCTGAGGAACCGACCGGTCTCCCAGGGCCACGTGGTGGCCGCTCCGCCGGGCGACCCAGGCCCTGTGACCGCCCTGCACATCATCGGCGGGACACCCAACCCGGATCCAGCGGGGCTTGTCACCCCTCGAACCTGCATCGCTCTCTGCCGGGAGCCTCCGTCAGCGGCGGAGCCACAGCCCGAGGTGTCCCTAGGGGGCCTTTCGGAGGCGGCCGACTCGCTGCGGGAGCTCCTCCGCCTGCCGCTCCGCTATCCCAGCACCCTGGCCGCGCTGGGGCTAGCTGTGCCCCGTGGGGTGCTCCTGGTGGGTCCTCCCGGAGTGGGCAAGACCCAGCTGGTGCGGGCTGTGGCCCGGGAAGCGGGCGCAGAGCTGCTGGCGGTGAGTGCTCCGGCGCTGCAGGGCTCCCGGCCTGGGGAGACGGAGGAGAACGTGCGGCGGGTCTTTCAGCGCGCCCGGGAGCTGGCCAGCCGAGGGCCTAGCCTGCTTTTCCTGGACGAGGTGGACGCCCTGTGTCCGCGGAGGGGCGGCCCACACCGGACCCCCGAGAGCCGCGTGGTGGCCCAGGTGTTGACGCTCCTCGACGGCGTCTGCGGGGACCGCGAGGTGGTTGTTGTGGGAGCCACCAATAGGCCAGACGCGCTAGACCCAGCACTTCGCAGACCCGGGAGATTTGACCGAGAGGTGAGCAGCGGGACAGGTTAGCCCTTTTGTCCCTAGAGCTCTGGCCTCTTCTTGCCCTGCCTGGTTGGGTGCTTCGAAGCATTTGCCTCTTAGGTTTGGGAGTCAGAGGCTCGACTGGGACGTCTTGTAACGAGCCCTTAAGTGATCTGTGAGTCAGGACCTGTTTTGTCCAGAATACATTTGGGGTTATTTTTGCTGTACTGTTCCTGAAGATCAGTACTGTAATCGGCAACGTTAATTCTTAAGGGAACTAGGTCTGCTACGAAAGTATTAAACGCTAGTACATTTGGAAGGACAACCAACAGGCAGGATAACTTCAAAAGTGTGTTGAAATAGAAAGGGTAAAGGCAAAAAAGACCTAAATCAAAGCAGGCATAAACTCATTGGGATTTATTCATTCTTTATCAGGACACCAGTATACAGTGTACATTTGCTCCTTGAGTTGCCATTAAGGTTAAATATCTAGCTAGGCAAGGTGATTCACGTCTTTTTAATCCCAGCAGCTCAGGAGGCAGGAGAATCATGGGTTCAAAGCCAGCCTCAGCAACTCAGAGAAGCTCTAAGCAAATCAGCGAGATCCTGTCTCTAAATAAAATTATAAAAAAGGGCTGAGGATGTGGCTCAGTGGTTAAGCACCTCTGGGTTCAATCCCAGGACACTACCAAAGAAGTTTGAAGCTTAGGAATTAAGTAGTATTTCAGTTCTGTATTAGACTCTAAAAGTGGAATAATAATTGCACACTTTTAGCTTATTATTGTACAAGTTGGTGAAGATAAAAAAAAATTGAAGCTGTAAACTTAATTTTTTTGTTTTTGTATTGTCTATAGGTTATCATCGGGACTCCCACACTTAAACAAAGAAGGGAAATTCTACAGGTTATTACCTCAAAGATGCCCATCTCCAGTCATGCCAATTTGGGTCTCCTTGCAGAAATGACAGTTGGCTATGTTGGTGCCGACCTGACAGCACTCTGTAGGGAGGCAGCCATGCACGCTCTCCTTCACAGTGAAAAGGTAAGAAATATTGATTACCCTCTACATTAATCTTTTTATTAATATAATAAATTAATTTTGGAGTTCAAAAAAGGTGGTAAGTATGTTTTCTAACCTCTTCAGGAAAAAATAATTTCCGTAGACTGAAGATTCTTAGAGTTTTTTACTTCAGTTGTAACATCAAGATTGTTCTTTGTGGGCTGGGGCTGTAGCTCAGTGGCAGAGCACTTGCTTAGCAAGCGTGAGGCACTAGGTTTGATCCTCAGGACCACATAAAAATAAACAAATAAAACATCATCTGCAACTACAAAAAAATTTTAAAAAAAGATTGTTCTTTGATCTTAACCTTCATAAGGATGATTTATCAACCTGAATTTTGAGAAACCTTTTTATCTAAATAATTTATATCCTTTCTTAATTCTTTTTCCTTTACTTTTACTCTTGTATTGAAGGTAGGAAGAAGTTATGTGAACTTATGGGTTTGTTGCCAAAACTACTCAAAGTTTTAATAAGTCCCATGTGTAAAGGTATGAGAATATATGTCCTTTGAGAGACAGATGACAGTACCAGGGGATGGGAACAGAGATTTACATTTCAGATTTCATCTACTTTAGAGTTCCATGTTTGACCTTAAACACCTCTGGCTTAGGTGGACCAGTCACCTGCTGTCATCCTAGGGTGGAGCCCACTGCTACTTCAGGAGGGGCCTATCTAAGCATAGTTACCACAGTTGACGGCTGAGTTCAGAAACAACCCAGGGAAAGTGGAAGGAAGAAGGGCAAAAAGGAAGAAGGGACAGAGACATCTGGGAAGGTACTGGCTCCATCTTTTTCTTCTTTTTCTCACTAGGCAGCTGAGGGGCTACTGCTGCCTCTGTCTGTGTCAGGGCAGACAAGGGATCTGTTAAAGGTGGTTGAACTTTTGTGAAGAATTTCTGTTAAAGGACTAGAAATGTTAAATACACATCCAGAGGAAAGAATTTATATGCCTGAAAAGGTTATGAGAATCAAGTGTTCTAGAACTATAAATAAGATTTTCAAATGTTGGTATTACCTAAAAATTAATTAGTATTCGGGTACCCAATATCTAATATTGCCGTACAGTTTAAAAAAAAAAAAAAAAGCTGTAGTCATGTGCTGCATAGCAACATTTTAATCAACGACAGGCCTAAAAACACAATCGAAACTAAGAAAAATACTTTTATCCCAATTTCCTTGATATAGAAAGAACTCTTATAAATCAATAAGCTAAGATCAATAATCAAGAGTAAATGGGTAGTAAGATAGATAAATGACAATAAAAGGAATACCAGTAAACATGAATGAAAAGTCTTCACTTTTAGTTTCTGAGTGTGTGTGCGCGCATGTATCTGTGCATCTATTTTTTTAATTTAGGGGAACTATTTGAGAATGGATTGCATACCTTTTGTTCCTTAATATGTTACTATCTGTTTCTTAAGAATAAGAATGTTGCCATGATCACAGTATAGTCATATATAGTTAATATTCTCCGGAAATTTAACATTGATATAAATATTATCAGATCTATAGTCCATAGTCTTATTTGGGTAATTCTCCCAATCTTTCCAGCATTTTTTTTTCTCTCAAACAGAATCTAGTTCAGGATAATAGATTGCATTTTTTTTTTTTAGTCTTTTTAAAAATCACAATTTTTTTTTTTTTTTTTCCCTGTGAGGGGAGGGTACCAGGGATTGAACTCAGGGGCACTTAACCACTGAGTCACATCCCCAGCCCATTTTTAAATTTTATTTAGAGACAGGGTCTTGCTGAGTTGCTTAGGGCTTCGCTAAGCTGTTGAATCTGGCTTTAAACTCACCATCCTCCTGCCTCAGCTTCTGGGATTATAGGTGTGTACCACTAAAGTACCACAAATGGAGGCATACATGTCCATTGGTTCCTCATTGGTGATGCTAATTTTGATTAATAATCAAGGTGGTTTCTAAATTTCTCCACTGTGTAGCCACTGAGAAATTTGTGGGGAGATACTTTAAGGCATGCAAATATCCTCTCTTTATCAGACTTTGACATCCCTAGATGTAGTATCTTGTTCTTGCCAAAAGAGCCTTTACAATGAAAGTTGCAAAAAAGGTGACTGATTTCATCATTCCCTCACAGTGGTGAGTACCATTTTTTCCTGTCACACTAGGAGAAGCTTAAAAGTTTGGTAATATATAGAGTGTTGAAGAGGTAGCAGGAGAGCAATAGCTTCATATTACTAAAGGAGAATAAATTGATGCATTTTCTTTTGAGAACAGTTTAGTAATGGCTGTCAAAATTGTAAATGTAAATACTCTTAAACTCAGTAATTCTACTTTAAGGAAATTATTATATAAAATATAAAGATTTTCAGTTGAAGCTTTTTTTTCTTTTTGAATAACAAGACTAGGAACAACCTAATGTTTGTCAGAAAGAATGATTATGATGTGTTTATTCAATAGTGTATTATATGTTTGTCAAAAAGAGTAACAGAATCATTAATTGACATGAGAAAATCTCTTAAGATAAGCAAAAAGACTTATATGTATAATATATATTTATATATAGTATATATTATATATATAAATATATGATATATATAATTTATATATATGATATATATTTAATGGTTCAGTTTACTTATCTGTTTAACAGGGTGTACATATATGCTTATTGTCATTAAACATACTAAAAAATACACTAGAAAATGTTGGCATTCTCTGGGGATGAATACTAGTAGGAATTTGGGAGATATTCAGTTTTTTTTGTTTTATGTGTATAAGTTTCTTTCATAATGATAACAAAATAGATTTACAAATTCCAAAAAGTATTTTTAAAAAAGATTTGTGCTTGTGTACCACAAAAAAGGATCACCTAATTTTGATTTGATTTTGCTTTTTTGTGTGTATTTCTTCAGAACCAAGACAATCCTTTGATTGATGAAACAGACTTCCTTGAAGCTTTTAAGAAGATTCAGCCTTCATCATTTCGAAGTGTTATTGGATTGATGGACATCAAGCCTATTGATTGGGAGCAGATTGGTGGCCTTGAAGATGTAAAACGGAAGTTAAAACAGGTAACAATCTGCTTAAGCTAGAAGAATATTAGAGATTAATATTCTGTGCTTTTACAATGAAAACAGACTGCATTGAAATTGCTCTTGCTATGATCACTAATGTGATCTTGACACCTAAATCCAACAATCACTTTTCTGTCTTTGTTTAAGTGGACTTTTGTAGACATCAAATTAACTTTCTGCTTTCCCACCTCAACCCTATTTTTGTTGTTTTTTCTTTAAAGAGTTTATAATCTAGCTAAGTGTGGTGGCTTACGATGCTGAGGTGGGATGAGATAATATATTCAAGGCCAACCTTAGCAGTTTAACAAGTTCCTATGCAATTTAGCAAGACCCTGTCTAAAAAGAAAAAACAAAAAGGACTGGGGATATGACTCAGTGGTAGAGCACCTTGAGTTCATCCTCAATACCTGCAAACCCCCATCCCCCCAAATTTAAAATCTAAAACAGGATTCAACAGATTTTCTGTAAAAAGCCAGATAGCAATTTGTTTTAAGGTTAGTGAGCCAAACAGTATCTGTCACAGTCATTCAATTTCATCACTGTAGTGCAAAAACAGCCATAGACAACACATAAATGAGTACAGTCAGCCCTCTATCCACAGGTTCTGCACCTGTGGATTTAAATCAGTATAAAAATATTCTAGGGGAGGAATTGTATCTGTGCTGAACACATTACAGGCTTTTTTCCTTGTCTTCATTCCCTAAACAATACATATAACACTTATCTATTTTATTAGGCATTATAAATAATCTCGAGATGATTTAAAGTACATGGAGGATGTGTGTACATTATATACAAATACTATGCTTTTTTTCTTTTTTGGTATTGAAGATTGAGCCCAGAGTCTTGGAGTGCTAAGCACAAAACTACACACTCCGGCCAACATAATTTTATATGAGAGACTTGAGCATCCTTAGATTTTGGTACTCAGTCCTCTGTAGATACTATAATTGTATTCTGGTTAAATTTATTTATGAATACTGAAACCATAATTTTCACAAAATACTATTTTATTTTGACTTCCCCAAGATTTAGAAATGTAAAAACTATTTTTAGTTTGTGGGTTTTAAAAATAGGGGCAGTGGGTGTTAGTTTCCTCTGATCTCTGATCTGCATGGCTGTAAGACAGGAACTGGTAAAAACACAAAATTGCAATAAACAGTCAGTATGGCATAGTTGTTACTGATTTTCTATCTATCTATCCAAATATCTATGTTTCAGTAGACATTTCTTCTGGTTATCAGGACTATTGATTGGCCTGTCTATATAGAACCCTATGGCTCTCAAAATCAGTGCGTTCATAATCCAGTAAGTCAACTACTAACTGACTGAATTCTCTGTCTCAGTGAAAGCAGCCAGCTACCCATCCCTTAGTCAGAACTTGTGTTCTAAGAGCAAGTGGCCGGAACTGAGTCCCAACCAAAAATACAGTTCCTTTTTATGTTTCAAATACCCATCCCTTCCATGCCATTTCTACTTTGACATTTCCAACCTTGTAATTTTTGTAGACAAAATCATTGCAAGAAATTTCTAATTGGTCTCCCTACCTCTAGCTTTAGTTCCTTCCAATGCTTTTCTCATGCTCCTTTCTTAGTGTAGACTTAAAAACTCTCATTTGTGTTTTGACTCCTACCTCTACTTTAACTCCATTGCTTCTGCTTTCTCCCATCCTCTCCACTGCTCCTGCTTAATGTTGGAATAAATTAGATGGTTTCAGGCACATCTTGTAGTGTTCTTTCCCCTTGGAATGCTCTTTTCTAGCTATTAGTTAATAATCCTGTTTCCCTAACCAGAATGTGTGTACATGAGGTTCAGAATTCAGGGGTCTTGTCTTTTTGTAGCGGTTATATATCAGTAATTAAGAACAAGAGTGAGTGCTCTAGAGTTATATTCCTGGCATCAGACTTGTTTCTGCCACATCACTAGCAATAAGAGGTGGGCAAGTTTAACTTTTCTTTCTTTCTTTCTTTTTTTAGTCATAGTTGGACATAATAACTTGATTTATTATTTAGTTGTAGGTGAACATAATACCTTTATTTGTTTTTATGTGGTGCTAAGGATTGAGCCCAGAGCCTCGCATGCCAGGCAAGCGCTCTACTGCTAAGCCACAACCCCAGCTCCAAGTTTAACTTCTTTAAGCTTGAGTTTCTGCATCTGTAAAATTATGATAATAAAACCATTTATCTTAGAGACAGTCAGGACTCATTTACTGTTTGGTACATTTGTTTAATGCCTGCTTGGGGCTGGGTCATTCTAGGTGTTGAGGATTTAGGGGTGAACTTTGCTTATATTCCAGTAAGAACAGAACAGTAGACCCAACATGGAAAAATATTAGCAAATAAGTGCTCTAAAAGTAAATATAGGTAGCAGCATAGAGAATAATGAGGAAGAGGTTCTGCTTTGGCTAGGGTGGTTAGGAAATACCTCTCCATGGGAAATGGATTTGAACTGGGACCCAAATGGTGAGGAATAGCCACACAAAAATCTTCTGGGAAGTTCAATCAGAGAGAACAGCAAGTAAAGGCTCTGAGATAGGAGTAAGCCAGATGTTTGGGAGATAGATTATGTAAGGCCTTGTAACAAGTAGGCAGTTTGGACTTGGATTTTATGCCAGTTCTGTGAGAAGTCATTGAAGCGCTTTCAGTAGGAAGTGATGTGGCCTGACTTAGTTTCTAAAATCCTTAGCTACTATGTAGAGAATAGACTGTATTTCAGCTCATAACACATACCTGAGAATTGTTGAGTGAACTGAATGAATTTACTGAATTATTTTATGTTTTCTTATTATACTAATCTCTTTTTGCATATTTACAGAGCATTGAGTGGCCTCTGAAATTCCCTCAGGACTTTATTAGGATGGGCCTAACACAACCAAAGGGCCTTCTCCTCTATGGGCCCCCTGGATGTGCTAAAACCACCCTGGTGAGGGCCCTGGCCACAAGCTGTCACTGCTCTTTTGTTTCAGTGAGTGGAGCTGATCTCTTTTCACCTTTCGTTGGAGATTCAGAAAAAGTTTTGTCTCAGGTTTGTTCTTTTTCTCATGCATTTAAGTTTACTTTTTATCTTTTATTTCATATCTCATTAGATAAACCTTATTTTAAAAAATATTAGTAGTTGTGTTTTAAATCATAAAAGTTTTACATGTTTGTTTATAGAAAATTTAGAAAATACAGAGTAGTTTAAGTAAGATACCTTTATAATCCCTCTACCTACTGTTAACTTTTTGTTGAATTGCCTTTGTCTTTTTTTTTTTTTTTTTAAGCAAAATAGAAGTCAGGTCTTATCTTTCTACAGCTTTATCCTGCTTTTTTAATTTAACATATCTCTTTTGAAATTTCATATTAAATATCCTTTCAAAATATGATTTTAAAGTCCTACATAATACTCTATTATTCTTTGATTTATTGATTCCCAATTTCTTAGGCATTAAGAATCTTCCTTTTTGTACTTTAAAAATTATAGTGGGCTGAGGATGAGCTCAGTGGTAGGGTGCTTGCCTAACATGCACAAAGTATTGGGTTTAAAATAAAAATAAAAGTTATACGTAGTAGTGCAGAGAATGTACATTCAATGAATGGTGTATAATTATTAGCTTTTTAATATTTTTTTCTCCAACATTAGGTATTTCGACAAGCAAGAGCAAATACTCCAGCAATTGTGTTTTTGGATGAAATTGACTCAATCTTGGGGTCTCGCTCAGTTAGCAAAACAGGATGTGATGTTCAAGAGCGAGTTCTTTCCATTCTCCTGAATGAGTTAGATGGTGTGGGACTTAAGACAATAGAAAGAAGAGGAAGTAAATCAAATCTACAGGGTAAATACCAGGAGCTGAAAAAAATGAAGAGGTATTTATTAGCCAGAGCACATAAAAAATCCAGACCAACATTAAATCGAATTCTTACCATGCTCTTGCTTTACATGTGCTGATTTATTTAGAGGGATATATGTAATTTCATTTTGACTCTGTGTAAAACATAAACGTTAATAAGATTTTTAAAGGGCTGGTGGAAATTGTGATTTGGCGAGGAAATGTGAAGTAAATTTTATAATTATCTTTGATGTATATGAATGTAAATATTGTTTTCCGAGTCTCTTTTCCAGCTAGAGTTTGATTTCTATTTAGTATTCCTAGTAGATAATTTTTCAATTATAAGGCATCCATGAGATTATCAAACCAAATCTTAAGAATACAGGAATTCCTCATATAGTATTTGGCAAGTATTCATCCATCCTCTGTTAAAGTACTTGGAACTCCCTGCTTGGAGGGATTAGAACACCGAAGAACAGTTCCAATTATTCAGTTCAACAAATAATTTTAATTGCTTATTGTATACAAGGCCTTGCTCTGACTGCTTTTAGACATTTCTTCTCTTCATCCAGGATTTACATGCTTGCAGCTTAGGTTATTTGTCATTCTTTATGTCTCTGGAAAGAAAAATAAAAAGTAAAGTAAATCCCCTTGGGGATAGATAACCAAGAATTTTCAGAGCCTTACATTTCTACTTGCTGAGTCATTTGCTTCTGTCATTTCAGGTAGTCCATTTAAGTTGTAATCATTGAGGGTTCAAGTGTATTCAGGTCACCAGGTAGGACAGTTTTTTGTGCTATGAGGCTTTTCATTGGTTCTCACATGGAAAAACAGTTTCTCAGGACTATCCACTCCCTTCCTGCACACAAAGTAGCTCTTTGATGATGATATGTTTCTGGAATACCTTGATATCAAGAAAGTGGTCTGGTTAGGAGGTATAAACATTCTGGTCCAAAGAAAAAGATATCCCTATTTAAAAACAAATGGACCTTCTGGTGCATAACTTGAAAAAAAAGAGAGAATAATTTATTGATATTACTTTGTGTCATATGTTTTCCCTCAGAGTTTCAAGAAGTTTTTAATCAAAATGTCATGATTGTTGCTGCAACAAATAGACCTGATGTGTTAGATGATGCCTTATTAAGACCTGGAAGATTGGATAAGATCATCTATATTCCCCCTCCAGATCAGAAGGTACTCACAGTAGACATTTACTCTGAACATTCTGAACACCACATCAACATCTACATTCCAAGAGCTTGACAGAATTGAATTCCAAACTGAACATAGTTGAACATAGTGTCCTCCTCACACTGGGCTTTCAGTATCTCCTTGCCTGATGGCCCTTCATAAAATCATAATCTTGATCTGCTCTTGGTGGATACCTGGCCCTGCTTTCAGAGAAAGATAAGCCTAAAAGTAAGGTAGTTACCTTGTGGTAGTGTTGTGGCAGACTCGGTGCTGAGTCCTGAATCTACTCAACCTTATTTTGCAACTGGAATGGAGGAATCCTAGAGTGTTGAAAAGAGGTTAAAAGGGTTTTGGAGATAATCTGGGTTAGCATCCTCATTTCACAGAGGAGAGATTTTAGATTACAGAGTTTATGCAATGCATCCACAGTCAGTCAGTAAATCCTTTGTCCTTAGCATCTTGAACCACTGACAGGGAGTGGCAGAAGATTCAGAATGAAGTTTTTTTTTTTTTTTCCCCCTTGGGCTTTTATCAAGTTTTGAAGAAATTTTTAAAACATTAAAATGTCTGTAAAACTTTTAAATTTTATCTGATAATTCATATATTTTTATCTTAAATTGTTCTAGTTGTACTATTTGTACCCAAGAGATTTGTCTTATGTCTTAAAGAGATCTATCTACAGTTGGCTATTTTAAAATTACAAAATATTATAATATTATAAAAATATTAAAGTTTTTTATGAGTTGATTATTTTTACCATGGTCACGTGGGCCATTGAAGACTTAATTTTTCTTACTCTTCAGAAGTAAAGATGTGATTTTTTTTTTTTACTGTTTGATTCCCCCCCCCACACACACACTTTATCTATATATGATAGATAATTCAAACTTAAAATACTTAAAATGTTTTAATATATTATTGTGTCAAACATAAATGTTAATAAGATTTTTTATTTTGTTCCAGGGCAGGCTTTCAATTTTAAAAGTCTATACAAAAACCATGCCAATAGGACCTGATGTTTCCTTAGAAAACCTAGCAGCAGAAACCAGTTTTTTCTCTGGAGCTGATCTTAGAAACCTCTGCAAAGAAGTAAGTTAATTAATGAAGTAATCAATGTATGGTTCAAAACATTTCATCATCTATTCAAATCTTCATTCGCTCAAAAACATTAATTATAAGACTTCTGTGTAACAAATATCATTCAGTAGGAAGCAGACAGGGGTGGGCCCTTTCCTTAGAAGGTAGATACACATTAGTAGGGGAGGGAGCAGAGATTGAAATATGTAGAGTTGAGGAAATCTAAGGTGAACATGTAGGAAGGACATCAGCACAGAATTGGGACATCAGGGAAGGCTTTTGAGAGAAGATATGTAAACTGACGTTGATAAGCTAATCAGGGAGTCAGCCAGCTAAAAGTAGAGGGAACTATTTGAAGCAGGGGGCATAAAATGTGAAGAGGATTAGAGTAAGAGATGATCTGAGCCAGGCACAGTGGCTGGGGAGGCTGAGCAGGAGGATCATGAGTTCAAAGCCAGGCTCAGCAACAGCAAGACGCTAAGCAACTCAGTGAGACCCTGTCTCTAAATAAAATACAAAATAGGGCTGGGGATGTGGCTCAGTGGTTGAGTATCCCTGAGTTCAGTCCCCAGTACCCCCCAAAAAAGTGATGACCTAACATTACTGAATCTTAGAGTGGAGAAAGACAAGAAATAAACCTGGAGAAATGGACAGAAATCTGATCATATGGGCCCTTATAAGTCTTTAAGGACCTTTTAGGTTTTATTTTGAAGGCAGAAGACATTACAGGTCAGCTTTAAATGTAACATTCAGAAAGCACAGATCATAAGGATATGGTTTATGGAATTAATATAAAGTGATCACGCTTTTTAACTACTACTCATATCAAGAAATAGAATGAATATTATCAGTACACCAAAATTTTCTTTTGGGCCATTTTCACCTCTGTTCCCTACACTTCCAAAAGGGAACCACTTTCCTGACTTAAAACACTGGAGACTGGTTTGACTGCTCTTGAACTTTATACAAATGGAACCTTATAGTATATAGTGTTTTCTGTCTGCTTCTTTAACTTAAGATTGTGTTTGAAACTCATCTGTAGTTTTGTGTGTAGCTGTAGTTTGTTTTGTTTCCATTGCCTTATAATCTAGTATATGAACATTGTTCATTTATTTGTCCTTTCTTAAAATTTTGAACTTCTCGGTTTCTACTTTTTTACTATTATGAATTCTGCTGCTGTGAAAAGTTTTGATTGGTGCATGTGTGTAATTATGTCTTTCATATATATATATTCATATGTATATATGAATATATATATATTTACAAGGAGAATTTCTGGGTCAGACTATATGTTTTATCTTTTCTTTTATTATCTCTAAGTCTTAAAACTTTCCTACTCCAAGATCAAGAACTGTCTTATCTTTAAAAATATATATGGACTCATTATTCATTATTCTGCAGCTTGCTTTTTCTTTTTTTTTCCATTTAAAGCTAGAGTTTTAATGTTGGAGAAATTCTGGTCGACTCAGTGGCTTTTAAATCACCTTTAACTTTTTAGCTTAATGTTTTTAATGACATGAATATTGGAATTCTGTGAAGTGAGACTGAGGTTTTGCATTCAGATTTTAAAGTATTATTGTAGATCATTCATTTTTTTAAAATGAGCAAATTAACAATTTTCTGTTGGTTGTCATTTATAGGCTGCTTTGCTGGCTCTACAAGAAAATGGACTGGAAGCAACCTCAGTGAATCAGGAACACTTTCTACAATCACTTAAGACTGTAAAACCATCCTTAAATCACAAGGACTTGACTTCATATGAAAACTTATTTAAGAAAGAAGGATTTTCGAACTGGGCAGATATTTAAAAATTACATCTTTGTTCAGTTGTTCACATTTATCTAAGTGTGAGCTTGCTTTTGGTTTCCAACTTCACACTTTTAGACTTTGTGTGTATATTTTTTGTAAATAAATAAAAATACAGATTTGGGGATGTAGCTCAGTGGTAGAGCTTCCCTAGCATGTGTAATGCCCTGGTTTCAACCTGTAGCGCTGCAAAAACAAAATTAAAAATTTTACATTTTATAAACTAAGGCTTATCCTACTTCTAAAAGTTATATTAAAATACTATAATTTAGGAAGAAAGCATATGTTTATATTTGTGTGTATGTTGACTTTGTAAGGGTAGTTATTTTTGGCTAATTGCTTTTTTGTAACTTTGAAATAGTTTTATGCTTATAAAAAAAGTTGCAAGAATAATATATATAAAGAACTCATATACTCTGTACTCTTAATTCAGATTCACCAATTTTTAACATTTGCCACATCTTCCTCCCTAGTATTTTGCTGAATAATCTGAGAATAGATTGGCATGCATCACTTAATGATGGGGTTACATACTGAGAAATGCATCATTAGAGGGCTAAGGGTGTAGCTCTGTGGAGCACTGGGTTTGATCCTCAGCACTACATGAAGATAAATAATGGTATTGTGTCCATTTGCAACTAAAAATTTTTTAATTAAAAAAAGAAATGCATCATTAGACAATTTTGTTATTGTCTGAGTGTCATGAAGTATACTTGCACTGAGATGGCTACAATATCACGAGGCAATATAATCTTATGAATCTTCCATCATATGTGGTCCATCATTGACTAAAAGCTTGTTGTGTGATATCACAGCATCCAGTTTAGGATCACACATTTTAGTTTTCATGTCTCTAGACAGTTCTTCAGTCTTTCTTTGACATTTTTGAAGAATATAGACCAGTTATTTTATAGAACAATTGGTCTATGGATTTGAGTTGTCCAGTGTTTTGTTATGTTAGATTTGGGTTATATATCACCAATGGAACACTCATGAGTAGCATTGTGCTCTTAGTACCACAGCTGGAAATGTGTGTTATCTGTATATTATTGCACCAAGTTTTCTTCACTTGTTTATGGTTTCTCTATATCTACTGTTTTTCCTTTTGTAATTATAAGTAATATTTAAGGAGATAGATTGCACATCCAATATTTTTGTATTGTATGATTGCACATACAATACAGAATTTTAAAATATTTTTTGAGTTGCCATTGAACACAATACCTTTATTTTATTTATTTATTTTTATGTGGTACTGAGGATCAAACCCAGTGTCTCGCACATGCTAGTGAGCGCCCTACCACTGAGCCACAACCCTAGCCCCTACACATACATTTTTATTTTCCTTTATTACAGAAGTAATTAAGGATATTAGAAAACACAAATAAACATGAGAAAATCCTTTGGAATTTAATCTTCCATCGCTTCATGCATGTATAGATTTTTTTTTTTTTTTAATTTTTAAAAATAATGATACTGTAAAACTCTTGTTTCTCTCACCGAAGGATATCTGATAAACATCTCACTGGGCCCATTCTTCAGTCACAAGGTGCAGTGCTCAGTACTGGGATGTAAAGTGAACAAAGCAGACATGGCACTGACAGCCCAGAAACATCAGATAAGTTAGTTCATTAGAGTGGTGGGAAGTGCCACAGAAATAATAGGGCATAATGACAACACAGTGCTTGAAATATATGAAGTCATAAATAGTAAGCAGTTGTTGAAAAGTTTCTTGTTTCTGATTGGAAACAGGATCATAAGGAATGGGAAAGAATCATGTGGCTTATAAGTATGCAATATAATTCAATTAAAATTATTTTAACCTTCACTTTTGAGTATTAGGAGAATCCTTAAAACTTACTAGAATTCTGACTATGTTCCTTACTGATTGTTGTTTTTGGTTTTGTTTTTCAATACTGAGACCTAATCCTGGGGTAGTCTACTAATTGAGTCACATCCCCAGCCCTTTCTGTTTTTTTTTATTTTGAGACAAGAGTCTCACTAAGTTGCCCAGGCAGGCCTTGAACTTGGAATCCTCCTGCCTCAGCCTCACCAATATCTGGAATTACGGGCTCACACCATAGCATCCAGTTTCCTTACAGGCTACTGAACTTACAGAACAAGGCAACCATTAAACCTTTGCCATACATACAAGTTCTGTTAAACCCTGCCTGGCCTGAACCTCAATTTGGATATCTGACTGTGGGCTCCTTGTTTCTTCCTTGAAAAAATTGCTAGTAGTCAAGTTAGAGATTTAATACCCATACTTGTTCAAGGCTGAATTGTTTGAAAATGTCTTTAAATTGTAATTACATTACAACTGAAATATTATAGTACATTATAGTACAATTATAATAAAATATTACTTACTATTGATTATATCATAATTGAACTTTGGAAGCCTCCCAGGAACCATGACCATATATATATCTGCTCTTATCGAAATGCCCAATAAATGACAGTCTGATAAGAATTTTTTTGGATTCAATTTTAATCTGACTTGAGGATGGCTCTGGGAAACTTCCAGAACAGTATTTTAATCTGTAAGAAAATTAACACTTCAGTTTCTAAGCACCTCTCTTCTGGTGGGGGCAGGGCAAAAAGACAGTCAGTGTAAATAATTGGTCCAACCTGGAGATGGGGGCCGGTTCCAAAGGGAAAGAATCAAATGCTAATGCCTCCAGAGCCCTTCCCCCTCCTCCCCTCAAGCTGTTGCCAAGGTTACCTGCCTACAAGGAACTGTTCTTCTGAAAAGGTTGTTAAGGAAGCACCTTTTGGATGGCCCTTTTCCTGCCCTTCTGGGCAGACATGGAGAGATAACCTTAGAAGACATCCTTCCCACCTTTTGGCTCATCTTTTGTCCACTGGTCACATGAGCATGATGGGGAGAGGAGAGAAGCAAGAGAACAAAAGAACTCTAAAATTTATAAAAGGGACAGGACACCTCTGCTTCTTTGAACACCCAGCTCTGGAGAAGTCTATCTCTGTTCTCTCCTTTACATAAAACTCGCTTTCTACGCTTGCCTCCGCATTTCTTGAGTGTCTAATCTTCAACATATGGGAAACGGGAACTTGTCATCGTATCACTGGTATACTGGGAAGTGTGCATTTTTTTTTTCCTGTATGCTGAGCTCAAACTGCTTTCTGGCCACATTAATAGTCCACCTTAAATAAAATATCGACCACCTTCAGAACCCACCCCCCTCTTTTTTTTTCCTTCTCTCTCTCTTTCTGCAAATCCAGAATTATAAACCTGGTAACAAAAACACTGAAGGGGGCTGGGATTGTAGCTCAGTGGTAGAGCACTTGCCTGGCACGTGTGAGGCCCTGGATTTGATCCCCAGCACTACATAAAAATAAACAAATAAAAATAAAGATATTGTGTCCATCTACAACTAAACAACAACAACAACAACCAAAAAAAAAAAAACTCTGAAGGATGAGTGTCAGGATTAACATAGTCCTCTATCATGGTTGGACAGAAAGAATTTCAACAAAAAATATTTTAATAATAGAATATATGGTTTTTATTTATAATGTCTGAGCTAGCCTGATTATGTTCAAATTCTGTGGGTACTAAGCAATATGGCTCAATGTGCCTCCACATCTAGAAAAGGTTCTAGAAGTTTCTGGCAGTTGAGTGTGGAGAGGCAAAGCTCCCTAAGGAATTACAGGCCATTGGAGAAGTTACAAAGAGTAATGTTGGTTAGTGTCCCAAATGGACCAAAACAAATTATATATAGCCTTGAATTTCCCAAAAGTTTAATACACCTAGTCATTAATGCAAAGCGAGAAAAGTGTGGCTTTCTGGGTTTAATTCTCATTGCTGCAAATAGAAATAAGCATATCTTAAAGGTTAATATGGGCACACATCTGTAACTATTAAGTAATGTTTGAATTTTTAAAATGTTTTATTCAGAACATTTCCAAACATAAAAATGAAATAGTATAATGATACCTACCACATATATTGAATGATTAATATTTTGCTGAATTTGGATTTTAGTTTAATTATTATTTTAAAGTAAATTTCATATATCACGATGTTTTATCCCTTAAATATTTCCATTTACAATCTCCAAAAAGGGGAAGGGGGATTCTTAATGTAATACCATTATTGTTAGGTAGTTGCTAGCAATGAGTAGTGAAATGCATGGTAAGATCATAAAGTGTTCTCTTTTTTGGGGGGATGGGGGGTGAGTACCAGGGATTGAACTCAGGGGCTCTCGATCACTAAGCCACATCCCCAACCCTATTTTGTGTTTTATTTAGGGACAGGGTCTCACTGAATTGCTTAGCACCTAACTTTTGCTGAGGCTGGCTTTGAATTCCTCCTGCTTCAGCCTCCCAAGGGGCTGGAATTACAGGTGTGTGCCACTGCACCCAACACAAAGTGTTCTTTAAATTACTTTGGGGTCTGTCTTTAAACTACTTCCAAAGTAGACAAGAAAGCAAAGGGTGGCAGTTAGTTTTTAGAAAATAAACCAAAGCAAAAGGAGCTAGTTGGAAACCGTGTTAAGAGGAAAGAATCCACTGAGGTCGATGTGAAGTGAGGAATTATGACTATGTCTCCAATAGTCTGGGAAGGAAGATTCCTTAGTAGTGCAGGTGCACTAAGGTAACTGACCAGTTATTGACCTTGGTGCCCACATTAACATGGGATTGACTTGTAAATGAAGCCCCCCTAAATAGGATGGCCACTATGACAGTTCCGGAGAGGACCAACTAAGGTCAAAAACTCCACCACCCAACTTGAAGTAGGAGTTGAACACCTGATCGGCAAAGAGTACAGAAGGTGGTCCCCAATTCTCCTGGTAAACATCAAACAGTAATAACATTTGGGAAGCATTGTCTCCTTTGTCGTTCTCTGCTTGGAGACTGTCCACTCTCTCCCTTGAGAGTGCTTTTTGCTTAAGCCTCACTTTTCTTTTACTTTATTTTCACCTCCCTTTCACTTCTAATAAAGTTCTCTTGCAAGACTTTTGGTGTCTGACTTTTGTCGGAACATAAGAATGGAGGTTTGGAGTTTCAGCTCCCTGCTTTCCTGTGACATTATCACATCTAACAATCCACAATACAGACAGTCCCTAACTTACAGCAGTTTGATCCATGATTTTTTTTTTATCTTTATGATGGTGCAAAAGTGATGTACATTCAGTAGAAACTACCTTGAACTTTGAATTTTGATCCTTATTCTGAGATGTGATTGATATGTGGTATGATATTC